TTCTTCTGGCAGAATATATAGTAATAACCACACACAAAAAAGGCTGAGACTCCTTCTTCCACCATGATTTTTGAAAAATACTTCATATTTGGAATATGTACCTGGATGAAAGTTGAAAGACTCATGGCCAACACGCTATGGTCCTTTAAATTAATTACAAATTTTCAACCAAATCTCTCAAAATCTCTTAGTATTTGAGATATTCTGGTAATTGACAGTGAAACAAAAAAACAAATAGGACCAAAAGACTTGACTGGAATAGGCATGAGTTAAGATTAAGCATCCATTTGTGCTGCCAAATTGTACATGACTTAAAAAAATACAACACAAATCGTACAAATACAAAACATTATATACAACTATTGTAAGCCAAATATTTATTTTTCACATTATATATACACTGTATATAACGTTATATCACCCTCTTTGACTGAATAACGTCACTGCTGTGCAGACACAAAATAGTACCACGGGTGTGCCAGTTGTGTGACGCGCATTGATACAATGTTATCCGCCCAGTCTGACCTCACATCCGTCCCTCTAGACAGATTTTTGTCTGGCGGCATTTTCTTTTTGTTTTGCCTGTGCCGACTTTAGCTCTTAGATTAATTGTGTTGTTGACCGGGTACAGGGATTTCTACAAAGTCTGCTTCTACCACAGTAGTCTGCTGCACAATGCCTGGATTTTCAGACCGAGATCGTGGCAGAGATAGAGGGTAAGCGAAGGGTCAGCTCTGAGTTTCTTAACGTGAACGGTTGACGTTAAGATGAGCAGCTTAGCTGTCATGGCCGCGCTCTCATAACAAGACCGTTGTCTTGTAACGCTAGTTTATATCGCCACTACTTGTTATTTAGCTGCAGTCGTGTATTAAAAAGAGAAACGCTGTTTTTATGCGTTTAAACGTTCTTTCTCTGGCGTATCTGTAATGTTTTGCGTTTCCCTGCCTATTGGAGGTAAAGTGGCAGCTAATGACAGCTCTGTGTCGGCCTGGTTGTTGTCATGTGACGCAGCGGTGTTTCTTCTTATGGTTGCATATTTGAGACGGAAGATTTTTTTTTTTCTCGCAAACGAGCAATTTATTTTTAACGAGTTAGTTTTCTAACGACCCTAATAACCCTGTCATGCTTCCTACAGGAGGTGAAGCTCAGCCCCATAATGTTCTCGTTGTATCGTGAATATAACGTTAAATCTGTCTCCATTCAGTAATATGACAGTTTATCATGAGCCCTACTTACTGGTGAGTGTTTACCTATACGGCAATAATCAAGCGCTATACATTTAGACTTGGGACTGTGCACAATGTTGGATTTGTCTATATCAACACTTTGTACACTTGTTTGCTTGATAGCAAACTATTAAGCGACTGTTTTTATGCCAGAGATGCTCAGTGTTTAAAAAGCAAACAGTATTCAGTTCCATGTTTGCCTCGTGGGTATAAACTCTTTTTCTGTTTGGAAGATTGTGCCCTCATACACAGATTAAACTGTCTTTAAAGCTGTTCACTAATTTATAGCCCCTATCCATTTTGTGTGATTTCTTTATGTGGTGCTAGAAAATCTGGGAGGAAAATGTCTTTGATTTAGTAGTGCATGTCCATACATTTGGAGGACTGACAAGAGACAGATTATTCTTTTGTGTAGATATCCCTAACACGAAACCCTATGCTACCTATCAAGCAATAACCTCATTTCGTCTTTCAAACCATACCAAGGCCCCGAACAAGCTGAGGTGATCCTGATGATGCATGGTGATCATCAGGTTTTATTTTTACTGGCTGTGTAGTACTAACCACATGTGTCCTGCTCTTTTACACAAGGTATAGTGGAGGACCTCCTCGTTTTGGTGGTGGTGGTGGTGGTAATAGGAGCGGACCTCCTCCGGGGAAGTTTGGCAACCCTGGTGAGAGGCTGCGAAAGAAGCACTGGAACCTTGACGAGCTTCCAAAGTTTCAAAAGAACTTCTACCAGGAACATCCAGATGCAACTCGCAGACCACCTGTAAGATTCACTTCTCATGAAATTAGTTTTTATTCATGTAGTCTTGCGAGTATGTGTATTGACGGTGTTCTTCAATTGCAGCAAGAGGTTGAACTGTACCGAAGAAACAAAGAAGTTACGGTCAAAGGCAGAGATATCCCCAAACCAATTATACAATTCCACGAAGCTGCATTTCCAAGTGAGTAGAGACGAATGCGCCACCACACAAATATCACAAATTTCTTTACCTACTACTTGTGTCATTGACAGAAGTTTTAAAGTTGACAGTTTAACTTGCATCATCTTACTTTTGCAGGCTACGTCATGGAAGTTATTGTCAAACAGAACTGGACTGATCCAACTCCAATTCAGTCTCAGGGGTGGCCAGTGGCCCTGAGTGGCAAAGACATGGTTGGCATCGCACAAACTGGTTCTGGGAAAACCTTAGCAGTAAGTGAAGTACTTTTTAATTATGATTTTTCAGAGCTTTTCTACCCAGCACCCATATGAGATTAATTTGTTGTCGCCTTTCGGTAATTAAGACATAACACTTTTGCCAAGAGTGATTGGCTCAAGATCGAACAGATTAATGTGAATACGGAAACAGACATTTGAGATAATACTGCAACGGC